TTTTTTAAAGTGTGGGGTTGTCTGTCTGATGGGGTATAATTTGGGGTATGTCCAATGTTTCCAACATCGAACCACCCCAAAGTTAACCAATTGGATATTTGGGACATTGTACCACCCTATAGCACATATGACTTGTTTTTTTTTTTTAGTTGGCTCGATGTTACATCGAATAGGTCTCTTATTATGTAGTCCGATGTGAGAAGCATCAGACAACATATTTAAATTACGATTCGATATTGCTAACATTGGACTAAAGTTTGACAGCTCAGACCACTTACTGGACAATGTAATTCACAATCTAGGGAGCAGTCTAGGGATCCAAACCTCAAATCACAAATCTTGCACTATATTAAAGCAAGACTAGCAATCCGAGGCCGGGATCCTTGGATTGCTTCCTAAATTGTGAATATTGTGAATTCACAGTCCATTAAGTAGTCAAGTTGCTAAACCTCAAATCGCAAGTCTTCGTTGTATATGGCTCAACTTGGTCCGAGTTTTGGATCCTCGAACAAAGTGCCCAAATATAAGTTGGTTGATGGAAACATCAAATTGTTAGCACGCCATTTAATGAGCAATGATCTAATGCAAGGGTCGTATTATAGTATAATGCAACGACACTTCTAGAAAACCATGTTTGTGGTATTTGTATGATTCCAAATTTTGCACACACACTCTTTTTATCTTAATTATCAATCCCAAAAAAGGCAAAATTCAATTTGAATCCTAGATATGGTCAAAATGAGTCCCCCCCAAAAATGAATCTAGGTCATTCATTTTGTGAATTTCAAGATCTTAGTTTTTATAAATTCAAAATCATTTTTTTCTTTTTTAACATTATTCATCTAATGATAATAAAGTCATCCAACAAAAATAGAAATGAAAAAATTCTTCTAAGGCCTAGATCTAAGCATCTCACCAAAATGAACGGCCTATGTTAATTGGACTAAAAAAATACCTTTTAGGTTGTGTTTTCAATTTTTGCTTTTTTTTTTTTTTTCATTAAAATGAAAAGAGTGTAGATTTCAAAATTTAGATCAAACAAATAGTTATAAGATGTTTTTTAAAGTTATTGCATTATATTACTATACAACGGTTGCATGAATTCATCGCCCCCATTTAATTTTAGCTAAGATAATTTTAAAAAACCTATAAACTTGAACCACATAGACCATATTAGCTTAGTGAACCTTAATGCACCATAACATATAATCCACGATCCCCAAGAAAACAACCACATCAACTTCATTAAGTACAAATTCCGTATGACTACCACCACTGGATTTAGTGGAATGACCGGAGCAAACTATAGGAGAATTGGGATTAGGGACACAGGTCGTGTTGCTAGCCCGATGGGCCTAGAATGTGCTCCATGTCGACATTCCAGAAATTTCTAGTACAATGGACTTGGTCAAAGCTAAAAAAAGATCCGGATCAACTCTTCAACGGATTTTGACCAAATTTTGACTAAATTCAACCCTAGGAGTTCTGATCCCAAGCTACCTAAAAGTCCTAATCCTAAGGAACTAGCGCCCAATTGAAGCCAATATGGACCCCTCTTAAGAGCATCTAAAAATTTGACCTTCAAGCCATAGAAACATGAAAGCCTTAGAAATCATTAAGCCTTGGAGACCTAATATCTTAGAGAAAATTCCTTAACAATTAGAAAAAAAAATCATTTAGACTATAGAAATCCTAAACCTAAAGAAAACATAGAACCTAGAAATCTTAGAAATCATGGAAGCCATAGAATTCACAGAAACCTTAGTTCTAGGAATTCAAAACCTCTAGTCAAAGTCATTCAATTTTTAGATCCAAAAACTTAAAGACAAGAAAAGTTCTCAGCATGTCTTTCAAAAGGAGAAGGAGACCTTTCAAAAGGAGAAGGAGACCAAACAAGAACGGCCTGATCCGGATCCGGCTTTTGGGTCCACAATAATTAGTACTTTTCTTTAGTTTTAGTTACTTAGTTCTTTCTATTTTAATTCAATTTTCTAGGTTTAGATTTAGCTTTTAAAATTATTTTGGTGCATGAAACTCAACTGTCATTGTCGGCAATTGTCAAAGAAAGTTAATCTTTCGAGGTCAAGATTTGTCATTGAACCGTAATTTGATCAACAACCACAATCTTTATCAATTGTAAACTCTAACCATTTAGAGCATAAATCCAGAGACGTTTCATATTGATATCTTTTCAGTTTATATATATATATATATATATATATATATATGAAAAGATCGGATTAGCCTATTAGCTCATATGAACATATGAGCTCAACGTTCGAGATTCAATCTGGGCCATCTGACGATACACGGATATCTGGTAGTGTTTGAATTTTAGTTTTTGTTTCTATAAATCTAAATCACTTGAAA